TTATGCCCTTTGGGCTATCTAATTCTCCCCAGACTATGTGTAGGCTAATGGATAAGGTGATCCCAGCGTCTCTAAGGAACGAGGTGTTTGTGTACTTAGACGACTTACTAATAGTCTCAGATACTTTTGAAAGACATATAGAAGTTCTGAAAGAGGTTGCGTCCCACCTTCAAAATGCCAAATTGACCATAAACGTAGAAAAAAGCAATTTTTGCATCAAGGAGGTTAAATACTTGGGACATGTGATTGGCCATGGAACCGTAGGCACAGACCCAGATAAAATATCCGCAATTCTGGAGTTCCCTAGCCCTCGCTCCATGAAACAGGTTCGCCGTTTCTTAGGAATGACGGGTTGGTATAATAAATTCATAAAAAACTTTGCCGCGTTAGCTTCTCCAATAACCGATACGCTCAGAAACAGAAAGAAATTTGCTTGGACTGAGGAAGCTCAACGAGCTTTTGAAATCTTGAAAGAACACATGTGTACGGCCCCTGTGTTGCATAGCCCAAATTTTGACGCTCCCTTTTCCATCCATTGTGATGCAAGCAACACTGGAGTGGGCGCGGTTCTAATGCAGGACGACGCCGAGGGAAACGAAGTTCCAATCTCCTTTATGTCCAAGAAACTAAACAAATGTCAATCAAATTACACAGTCACAGAAAAGGAGTGTTTGGCAGCTGTTTTGGCGGTAAAAAAATTCAGGGCATATGTGGAGGGACAAGAGTTCACAATTATTACCGATCACGCGTCCTTAAAGTGGCTAATGTCCCAGGGAGACCTCAGTTCTCGTCTTGCACGATGGTCCTTAAAATTGCAGGGATTTAAGTTCAAAATCAGCCATAGAAAAGGAAGTCAAAATGTAGTACCAGACGCCTTGTCAAGGACTTTTACGGAAGACCTTTCGGGCTTGGAAATATCTAGTTTAGTGGATATGGATGCCAGTGAGTTTAAAGGGAAAAATTACGAAGATCTAAAAGCAGCTATTTCCACAGGAGTACAACAATTAGGTGAGGTTAAGGTCAGCAACGGATTTGTTTATCGTCGCGCTGAGCACGCTGCAGACGAGAAAGTGGCAGATGAATCCTGTTGGAAGCTGTGGCTTCCTAAAGAGCTAGTTCCAGATTTGTTAAAAAAAACGCATGAAGATCCCTTAGCAGCACACTGTGGCATAGCCAAAATGTTAGAAAACTTGAGAAGATATTTCTATTGGCCAAATTTAGCGGTAGATGTAAAAGATTTTGTCAATAGGTGCGAAGTGTGCAAGACAACAAAGCATCCCAGTCAGACTTTGAGACCAGCCTTGGGAAATACTGGCCAATCTGAAAGGATTTTTCAAAGGCTCTACGTCGACTTTTTAGGGCCGTATCCGCGTAGCTCGGAAGGGCATATAGGGCTTTTTATTGTAGTCGATCATGCTTCAAAGTTTCCCTTTCTGAAAGCCGTAAAGAAATTTACGACAGAGGCTATTCTTCCATTCCTTGAAAAAGAAATCTTCCATTGTTTTGGCGTACCGGAAACTATTATTTCCGATAATGGAGTGCAGTTCAAATCAGTGGCGTTCAACGCTTTACTTGAGAGATATGGGATCGCACACTCCTATACGGCGATTTACGCTCCACAAGCCAACGCCTCAGAAAGGGTCAATAGATCGGTGTTAGCTGCCATCAAGGCGTACATAGATCTGAGTCAAAAGAACTGGGATAGTAAACTTAGTAGCATCTGTTGCGCGTTGAGGTCAAGTTTTCATTCGGCCATAAAAACGACACCGTACAGAATGGTTTTTGGGCAGCACATGGTAGTAGATGGAAAATCATATAAAATCATTAGGGAGCTAGGATTGCTAGAGGATAGAAATGTACAGTTCAGTAAGGATGACTCGCGAGACATAATAAGGCGTACGGCTCAGGATTCGATGGAAGCCCAAAGGGAAAGGAATGAAAGGGCTTATAACTTGCGGAGCCGAATTGTGTCTTACAGACCGGGTCAAGAGGTCTTTCGCCGGAACTTCCAGCAAAGCAACTTCGCAAAGGGTTTTAGCTCAAAGCTAGCACCGGTTTTTATAAAGTCTAGGATCCGAAAAAAACTGGGTTTGGCCTATTATGAAATTGAGGACCTCCAGGGAAGGTTAATTGGCAAATACCACGCGAAAGACTTGCGACAATAAGACAAGCTGGGATCTCCCTTGTGTCGATAGCTCACCCCAAGTGAGATTTTGGTGGGGGGGAACTGTAGGATTGCTTGTCTTTTGGCTAAGATTGCTTTCGGCCCAAAAGTAGGCAACAGAGTTTGGTCTACATGGTTTAGTAGAAAATATAGTCTCTTGAGCCAGAACTCCCAAAACTTCACCAAATTGGTGAGTAGGCTTGAGCTACAGGTCGGACTCAGGGTCCCGACCCGAAGTCAATTTCGTTTGGAGTCACACCAAAATTACCAGTGGATCGAAGAAGAAGTTAGTTGCAAGTGCAAAGATCAAAGTTACACAAATTAAAGGAAATCCAAAATTTCCAAAATTCCCGGCAATCGCCGTTACAAGTGGCTTAAAAACCAAAAAAAAAAACACAAGTGCTAAAGTGCCAACCCCTAGTGGGTAAGTTTTTTGAGTGCGAGAAGTTGATAAAGTGGTGTTTGAACGCCGTAATGTTTTTAGGTGGCACCTAATTACATAACCCCGGTCCGCCAAAAGCCAGGCTTGGGCGTAAGAGGCGTCTGGAGAACAAAAGCGCCAACAGGAGTGAAGTTATATATCCATCAACCGATCAATCAGCACCAGCAGCAGCAGCAGAATCCGAGATCCCTCAGCAGCGACAATAGCGCCGAGAATTTGATTTATTTATTATCTACATATTTTATTATCATTATCTACATATTTTTTCTACTTTCTACATCTACGTTTATATGTTGTAGAATAGCCCAGTAGCCAACAAAATTTAGGCTAGGGTCCATTTACCGGCAATACAATCCGTAAGCCGTAGGGAAATATAGCCCAAGAAGACAAAAAAAAATGAATTAATCAACCCCTCAAATACTAAATCATTTCGAATTACATTTAAAACTTAAAGTTTCGAATTTTACGCGTCATTATACGCCACTAGAAGCAGATTGAAGCTGAATTTTAGTTTAAGTAGTTTTAAGAGAATAGTTATAATCAAGAGAGTAGGTCAATAACAGGGAAAATATGCATTAGAGCTGAGCAGTCCCGTCTTCCCATGTACTTTTCCCTTCCCTCTCCCATGTCTTAACGGCAGAGTACCGTACCGCTGTAGAGTACGAGTAAGGCGAGTGAGAGTAACGCTAGCGATCTCTTATGTAGTTGAGGTTCTCTTTCACAGGCCCCCTTCGAGAAGCGCTTCTTCGTGGGAAAACAAAGTGAGTCGATTTAATGTCATAAGAATCTCAACTACCCTTTTTAAATAGAACAAAAGTCTAAAGAGAAAATTTAACTTGTTACAAAATAAAAAAATTCACCCCTCACTTAAATGCTGTAATAAAAAAAAAAAAATTTAAAGAAACTACAAACTCCAAAAAAATGTCCTCCCCATAAAGCCCAAACCACAACTCCCTGCTCAATAATATAAAGTTTTAAGCCACACATATCATGCCATAATTTTACATACCTACACCCATTATACCCGCTCTCTACATTTGTATTATTTCATGTAAAAGCTAGATGTTATATACATGAGCACTGAAATATTCAGCGATCGCTAAATTTAATTTTTATTCATTAAATTCGCAATTTTAAGTTCAATCTATATGTTAATCACTTCTTAGGATCCTAATGCTCTTGTTTAGAATTAAATTTTGTCAGTTAATAGGATTATTCTATGTTTAAAAATAAAATTTATAATGTTGTCTAAAGTTGAGTAGAGTCCATAGGGAAGCCATGCGTCGTCGAATGTTATCTGTCGTGTAAAGTGTAGTCGCCTTTTAGGGATCGCCATAAATATATCTGGTCGATGGTGATCATGGTAGGGAGGGCAAGTCAGCTTGAACAACCGCTGACATAAAGGCACTACATCCTTGTTCGTCCTTATCTGTCCTTTGCTAGTCAATAGTCCGGTCCATTAGTCCTGTGGAGATCCTCGTACCCTTTAGCACGCGAAGTAATAAGATTTTGTTGTTCGTCTATAGAGCAAGTAGCAGCGTTCTTAAAACCTATCCCCGACCCCCCTCTACTGGTAACTCATGCCGGAACCAGCGCGTGCTCTACGTAGGCTACAAATTACACCAGCTCTCGAAACGTAGTTCGCTACAATCTGCACAAGCCGATCATTAGGTCTTCGATTGTGCTTTTGTTTTGGGCCATTTCTCGTTGGTTGTTGTTGCTGTGGCCGAGCATTGTATTTTTGGCGTGGCTCTCTTAATGTGCCCACTTTTGGGTTTGTTTGTCCGACATTTTGCCGGCGATTTTAACACACATTGACCAGACAGACAGCTGGCGGCACAATTTCGGTTTTCGTTTTCATTACGGGCTACTCTCTTTCATTTCCCCGTCTGAAGCATTTGCCATTGAAAGTAAAATCGCCTTGTTTTTGCTGCTGGCATCCAGATTCACTTTCGATGCTTTGATTGAGAACACTTGAATCTGGTATTGGTATCTTCAAGTTGAACCGCACAAACCCACCACGAGGTGAGAGGCTCCAGACCATCTTCAGCTGGCGAAGACGAAGAGATGGAAACTCTCTCGGCCGCTTCGCTCTTTTGCCTCGTCTTCGTTTTCTTCGTTTGGGCCCAGTTGCTGGCCACATTCGACTTAAAGTTTCAGTTACAATACGGCAGCGACTCGGCCTGGTTGCGATTCCCAAAATTGCTCCGCGCGTGTCTTGAAATTGCGAGTGCGTGTCCTGAAGGATAATCCCTTAGAAAAGAGTGGGTGCAGTGCAAGATCGACTATATTTACATCAAATTTTTTAATTTAAATTAAAACGCGAGTGTCTATTAAATATAGTTTTGATTTTCAGCAGCTGTTTCGCCAGGAGCCACGGGATTATATTGCATCCTTTCTCAAGATGAGAACTTTGCCATTTTTGGTAAGTGGGTGGAAGGGACCATCGCCTATTTTCATTGCTAAGTGGCCATAAGTATGCACTTATGCAACCAGCTAGCGATCATTAATCTCCAGAGGTGTCATCGCTGGCCTGACCTGCGATCTGCGACCTCTTCCCGCTTCGTTGACATTGACAAATCGTGTCATTCCATTACGGCAGGGCCCCAAAAACAAAAGTGAGCGAAGTAAGCCAAGTGTAAATTGCCTTCCGGCTGCCGCGACTCCAATACCTTAACTTGGCACTTGTTACGCGAAGAAATGTCTGCCTATCTCATGGATCTCTGTATCCATGCGATCCGCACATGTGCGGATTTGCCCAGCAAATTGTCTCATTGTTTCCACGAATCTTGTTAGCACTGCCATTGCCTGATTTGCACATTTCCCCGGGAAAACTAAAGCAAAGGTTTCTTGTTTTTGCATTTACAAATTTCTTGGCCTCGAATGTGATGGCTGATCATGGGGATTTTCTGCCCACAGAGTATTATATGGATTTTTTTGATGATTGATTGAGTGATTTTCCTAGCAGACACAAGACACAAGACATAAAGAGATATGGAAATTAGTAATGGTATTTTTGGTACATAACAAAAGATTTTATTTTCGATTTGTTATAACAAAAATCTTGTTAGGGCCTCTTCTTGCTTTTCCTATTTTATTTTTGGCATTGAAGACTGAATTAATATTGTTGCTTTTGAATGATTGACTTACTAAAATGTTATGTATGATTAAAAAAATGTTAAATGTTTATTTAGGTTTCCAAAACAATATCACAACTTGCGAGCAACAAAGATTGTAGTTTTTACTTAAGGTTTTTGCTTGTTACTTCTTAATTTCACTTTATATTTCCTGCCGTGTTTCCTGCGAAACCTGAAGAAACCAGTACTTGGTTATTATATTTTGATCTGTAATATCAAGCCGGAACAATTGTTTTTTTCCGTGCATCTCATTATTTACTCAATCATATTCCTTTTGCAATCTGGAATCACATGCAATCAGCCACCTGCTGAAGAACCGAATGGGGCAGTCGAGCTGCGCTCATTTAACGTCTTCATCTGCATCATCAGCAAAATCAACACGAGATTCGAGAGTATGAGCATGGTTATATCCAAACTGTCCTCCTTTCGATCTCAGTCAGTTCGTCTGCCTTTCAAAAGCGAGGCGCCAAATGGCCATCAGATGTGGCTTGATGTGGCTTTTGCAAAACAGCATTCGGCAGAGATGACTCTAAACTTTTGCAGCCGAAAATCCCCCTGATGATCATTAGTGGCTGCCATAGCTATTTGGATCATGAAGTGTGTGTGTAACCTTTACAAAAGACATGTAAGTGGCTTCGTTTATTGAACTTCTTTTCTGCGCTGCGGCCAGACTACATTCAATGCAATTCCGAATAAATGCCAAAGTGGAACTGGCCCAGAAAGTAATTATTTGGTTTTGTGTAGGGAAACTACGAGTATTTCATGGCTAATTTTCGGGGCAAATTGGAAAAGAAAATGCTGATTGTCATTGCGCATGTTTGTTCAAGACGAAGAATGGGCTTACTTTCTGTTCAAAGCTTTTGGCCATTTGGCCAGCGGCTATTCACGACACCCATTGACTTCAGACTTCAGCACCTGCTGTTGTGTTGTGTCTCTATTTCTGTTGCTGTTTCAGTTTCCCCTGGCCCAAAACTAGTGGTTCCCCAAATAGGCCGAGGCTGAGCATATTTTAATATGCTGCACGCATGCAAACTGTCCATTTGCTGCTTGTCGTGGAGTGTAGAAAGTTGATTGGATTTATTTCGTCTTCGGATTGGGACTATGATTTTGATTCGATTATTATTGTGTATTTGGATTGGATTTGGCTGGCCGAAAGTTTTCGGCAAGTGCAGAAGCCCTGCGATTTTTTGTTGGTTTTTAAATAACAAGGAATGCACCTTTCACTTCTCGTTCAATTATTTCCTTGCTGGGGCATCGAGAGATGCGATGGCCACCAAATAAAAGGAAAACTTTTGCAATTGAAGACGAGTTGCCAGTGGCCAGTTTTTCGGCTCGCCAAGCCGCCAGATGTGAATGTACCAGCGAGATGAGGAGATGTACCATGGATGCGATGGGGTTGCGGCGACACACGAATTCATATATTTCGGAATGCGGTTTTCGACCGCAGACAATTTTCTGTTTGGCGCGCAATTACACTGCACAAAGTACTCTGTACAAGTATCCGCAATTCGGTGGTCATCGTGCGGGCTTATATTTATTTAATTAAATGTTGCTCAAGCGAGCAGAGCGACCAGCATCTTGAACTGCAGACGACTGCACGCATTCCCCATTTCGGCATGAATATTAATGACGAACCGAAATTGCTCGGATGTCGATTAGGCAGCAGCAGCCTACTAATTTGTGGCGTTAACATATTTTTCGGGCTGCCTCTTAATTATTTGTCTTTTCACCGGCGATGAGAGGGCGAAAAAGAGAGCATTACGTAACTGTGTTGGTCGTGAATGCGGCCAGAGTTCATCGCGGTTCCGGCTGGCCATCCATCCTATCGGCGACCTGACTGAACGACGACCAGGTTTGTTTAATTTATGCGAGCTCTTTCTTCTTCGAGGGTTACTACCGATTGTTTATTTGATTTTTATTTATTTTATGCAACGACCTTGCTCATCGCTTAGCTCGTCACCGCGGTTAAGTAATTAAAAGGAAGACATAAACCCGAACCACTGACCGCCCTCAACAGAAATGGCTTTTGGAATTGGTTAGTTAATTGGGATTGTATCATTTGATTGGCTGCTAAATTAGGACTTACCTTTCATTTCCCAATGGCCGCAAGAGACGAGCTTCGCCTCGAGTTCGTTGCCTAAGTCTTTTGTTTTTGCCTCCTTTCGGTGGCAATATTTGCAGTGGTGGTCAATTGTTTTCCAGGCAAACCAACTATAGGTGTTGGACACACTGTAGACACTCTGCCTGGTCACTCGTGTCTTACCAGCTAATTTGTTTGATTTGTCGCCGTTTGCATAACCCGTTTGTTGTCACTACGCCAATACGCAATATTTGTTCGATTGCCTTTCAATTTACTCATTACTCGGTAATTTGCAATTGACACATTGCAGAAATTGCACAAATGACAGAAATATGAAGTGAATTGCAATGGTCAAATTACCACCGAGATCTCTGGAGCAATTCTGCCCTCATTTGAATGGGGGAAAAGCCTGCAATCAATTCGAGAGATCCCTTTGGAGTGGTTGGACAACTTTTACATTTTCCATTTGTCTTTGGCCTGCACTGGATTCCAAGCTATGCAGCTTCATCTCCCAGCGTTCGACAGTAGTGGCCATTATGCAGATCAGCTTGGCTGGCGGGGCTCACGCACAGGTCCGACCCGCTAAGACCACTTCCCACCACTTGGCCACTTGTCGGCACAGGTGGACCTTCTGCTGCCGGCCAGCTTTCTCGGGGCCAATCCATGTCACGCGGAGATATACACAGCAAAAACAGCACGTAAATTGTTAATTATTTGGGGAATTTTTCACACCAAAACAGCTCCTATCGTTGTCATGTCAGCGGGTCATCTAAAAACTTGGCTTATCTTATTAATCAGAAACGTCTTCTTTGAAATGCTTTTGAGGAAGTTTCTTGTGCTTACTTATCTGTTGAAAGTGGATAAACATTACAAAATAAACAAATAAATAGACATCAATATTATTATAGTAATTAAAAACAATGGGACCGAAAACATTAATTACTTGTGAGCGATTTATGATTTATGATGTGAAAAATAACACTATTTTCCTTCATGTCTCTCTAATAATCTCTAAAAATTGGTTTCCCAATAATTTTACAATACTTTTTAATTTTAATTTTACTGATTGATAAAAGCAATAAAGTAATCGAAAAAGGTTTATAATTTACTAGCAGTGCTTTTAGATTTTATCCCAGATTTCATTTAAGTTAAGGTAGTGGCAACTATTAGGCAACTATTACCCCGACTCCCCAAAGCACTCAATTATTTATATTGGAATGATTTTGCATAAACAGATGGTGGGAAATAAGATGACGGCGACTTAAAATAGTTTTCGTTTGAATTTTTCTCTGTGTGCACTTAACCCGCCAGAGAAGCGGCAGCGGCAGCAGCAGAAGAAGCATTAAAACACTTTCATTTTTCATTTCATTTAATAATTCATCATATTTTTCACCTTTTGTTTCTCCGCGTCGTCATCGTTTTTGGCGTTATCTGAGGCGCCCCCCGCGAAATTTATGGTTTATAGTGTAACCTGGTCCACATTTTCCCGGCTGGCGTGTCGCTTACTTCCGTTTTTGTTTGGTCGTTTGCCACTTCTAAGAGACAATGACGGCATGAAAGCGATAAATGTTTTATTTTCGTACGCGGCTGTTTTTTACGCCATTTATCGGTGGGTTCGGGGTGTTCGGGGGTCTACGATCTGTGTGAGCAGAGCTCGCATGCCAAGTTTGTCGCTGCAGTCTTTCGTTTGTTTTCGCAAGTCTCACATTTTCTACGCCTCAATTTGAGCGCTCACTTCCTTTCTTTCTTGATTCCTGTTGATCTGGTCGCGCTACAGTTATTCCGTTTGGACAGCTGCTGCTTATGCAACCAGGGTCTGGGATTTAATTATAAGGATTTACCTGATTGTTGGCAATTTCGCGCGAAAACGAACGCGAAAGTGACGCATTACTTACATCCGCCTCGGTTTCGTTTCTCTGTCACTTATACCTTATATTTTTCCCCTTTATCTTGTTTTTTGGCAATGGAACGGGAAATGATGTCAGTTACGGTTTATGACTAATGTTCTTTGGCAACTTTTGCATCACTCGGCGATGACTGAGTGACGTTCCTAGCCACTCGCTTAATTGGCCTGCAGACAAGTTGCGATTCTGGGCTAACTGCTGGCTTACCATCTTGGTTCGCACGAAGATGACTTTCAAGTTGTGGGCCTGGGCCAGAATAATTGTGCCGTGTCACAAGCTGATTGTCTTTGCAATCTGCCATCTGCAATCTATTCACATGACAGACAGCCTAACAATGGCAGATCAACTGGCACATATCATAACTGTGCATCATCAAGTGCAGTGTGTATGATGTATAATGATATCTACCCAGCCAGCCAGACAACAAAGCAACCGAAAATAAACACTGTTTACATGAGAACTTCCCTGGCTATTTGTCAGTTGCAAATTCAGACAAGTTGTCGGCCAGATTTCACTTGGCCAATCGTCTCGAACACCAACGCAAACAGCAAACACCAAACGAGCGAAAAACCAACCGCAGAAACGTGCCGCACATCAGTTGTAGCTGCCACTTGGCTCCGGCTCACTTAGCCACATGCCACAAGTTGTTAGTCCTGCGGTCAACTGGTTAACCATCCCCCAGCCCATCTTTCTACCATCTTAACTATTGCACAACAGCAGCAGTTGATTTACACTAGCCCACTAAATGCTTGCCAAAGATTTTCGGGTTTCTTCTGCTGTTTCATTAATAAATTTTTGTCTTTAGCTCGGGTTGCGTAATTCTCTCTTCTTTTAGAGTTTTGGCCAAATGGAGGAAAACTCTGGGGCTGACATCAGATTTATTGGCTTGTAAACATTTTCGTTATGTTAATGTTCGAGTTCAGAGCTGTCGAGTATTTCGGGGCTTTGGCTTTGGCTTTAACTTTGGCTTGAGATGAATTTTGATGGCTTTTTACCCAGAGTGCCGTGGTGTGTAACTTTCTCCCATTGTTAGCATCTTTCTTTTCATGAACTGCTTTTCGGCTGTCTGAATGTCCGTCTGTCTGCCTGTCGATGGTGATGTTGATTTGATTATTTCTCTCTTTTTGTGTCTTTTATTGTTTCTCGTGTGTTTTTCATATTTTGTTTGGCTTTGTTTTGGCAAATCTTTGACATTTGCCCATTGTATGTGGTCAGCGGAGTGTGTGAGCTGCAGAAGCCCTCAAAATGGTGTTTGAGTTAGCCATAGGTCAGTGTGGTATGGTAATGTGACAGTTTCTTTGGGGAAGTGCCTCTTAGATAATCGGTTTGTTTGTGTGGGCCTCGCTGATTAGCATATGTGGCATAACCCCCTGCTGAAGCCAAGTAGAGCTAAAAAGTGAGTGTAGCAGCCGTCATCGGTAATTGCAATTAAAAGAGCATCATTAAGCTGTCAAAATGTCTGCGTTAAAACTGTGAAAACAAAGGAACAGCCTGTCCGCAGGGCTGTCAAAACACGAACTCGCAGCTTCCGTTTTGACATGACATCTTGGCCGCCTCCCCGGGTGAAATATAAAAAGTAAAAACAATGCCATTTAGAGATGCCATAATCAGGCGGGCGGGCGAGACTACCGTCTACCGTGAGATTGCGCATACGCCACCGATCGACGGAGCTTCATTTCAACTGGGCTAAACCCCCGATCTCTGAGGCAGTAGGTAACGCTCATTGTCCGTCGAGTGTGTATTATTTTCACTTCACTTTCTGCTCAGCCATCAAAATGTGTTGTACCCGTACTCGTATATAGATACAAATCAAATGTCAAGCGCCCACACACATACCGGTTGACATTTGCAGTCCAAGTGCAGTTTGGAAAGTTCGGTGAAAAATTCGAAACAGAATTGAGTTTTCCTTTTCGTCTCGTTTGGCATTTTTGCGTGGGCGTGGCCAAGTAAGCCAGAAAGCCAGTGAGCCAGAAAGCGGCTCCCGCGGTCAATTGAAATTCGTCGCCGCACTCCAGGGCAACTTTCACGGCTAAGCTGAAAAGGCCGGGCTTGCCTCTTCCGCCAGTCGATGACTACCGATGACTGATGATGACTCAATGGCCTCCAGTTGGCTGATTAACCGCATCGCGATATGCCAAATTAAAAGGCGAAACCGGGGCGAAATGAGGCTTGCCTTGCCTTTAACCCATCAAGTTGGCGTTGTGTCAATTCTGTGGTCAACAACTCAATCCCAGCCTCTCCACTTTATTTCATTTCAGTTCCATCTCCAAAACTCCAAACAGCCTCAACTTGACATTGACCCAATGCAAAAAAGTGAAAAAATAGACAAACACGTCCACGAAATTTTTGCTGGGCTAATTTGTAGCGGCTTCGTTAACTGGCGATGTTCGAGTTTATTGCGTTTTTAATTCGCCTTTTTTGGGCATTCACCAATTTGTTTTGCCATCTTCTATTTCGGCCGGTAAAAGTTTTTTTTGCGCCTTTTGTCGGGGTCTCGACCTTGTCCACTAGATATCAATTAAAATATTTTGTTTACAGGAGCCATGTGTTTACATGGCATCCAGATTTATCTGGTAGATTTATGGACTTTGCTTTGCTTTGCCTAACAACCATTTCCCCCGAATAAATTTCGCTTTCAAGTCTGATTAGTATCTTTGGCTATGGCCTAATCCTAAACAAAATTTGAATTCCACGAAGTTTTAATTAAAATATTTTGGCACCCGTACTAATCCTCAACTTTCTATTCAATTTCCAGTTGGCGCTGACGCTGTTGGTCATTGGAGCCACGGCGACTGCCTCCTCCAAATACTCCAGCACCACCACCACCACATCGGCGAAGCCAAAAACAGAGATCAAGGGTAAAGTTGAGCCAGAGAAGCCCACCAAGCAGCCGTCGCCATCGGCATCGCCTTCGTCCAAGGCATCCAGCACCACCACCTCCACCACCCGCCAGTCGAAGGCCTTGAAGCCGGGAGAGAATCGCGGCAAGAGAACGCTCTACGACTTCGGAAACGCCGGCTATCTGTATCCGGAAGTGGCCTCTCGGAGGGCTGGCTATGTGGACAACACGGCTAGCTATTATCCCCAGACTGGCTACTACAATGGTCAAAATGCAATTGGTAAGTAAACCGAAAAGATTTGATTTTCATTTTCACAGATTACTAATAGAACTTCGCCTAGAGTCTTAAAAAAAATTAATTTATTTTCTTAAAGTATAAAATGTGTAAAATCTTTTCAAAAATTAAAACTTAATTTCCAATTTCATAAACTTAAAACGAATACTTATTTTGAGTGCACTCATTAAACAGAAACAATCAGTTTCGATTGGTAGTAGAATCGCAAAATACTAGGCTATTAAGAAAATGATTTTCCAGCTGTATTAAAATAATAAGAATGACTTTAACAAGACTTAAATGCTGTGAAAGTGAAAAGTTTTAATTTATAATTAAATCTAATTCCCAAATCTTTCCAATTTCAGCTCAATACCCCGGCAACTTTGGGCCCGCCTACGCGCAATATCCTCAGTACTTGGAGGCTCCAGAGCCCATCATCGAGATCATCATCAAGGATGCCAATGAAACTCTGGCCGAAGAGCCCGCCCAACCAATTGTGACGAAGAAAAAGAAGAAGAAGGAGAAGGTGCACGTGTTCTATGTGAACTACAAGAAGGATCAGAACAACAAGTTGCATTTGGAGTCACCGATTGCCTCGCTGAACAACGATGATAACGAGGAGGAGGAAGAGGAGGAGGAAGAGGTCATCCAGTATCCCGTGACGCCACTGCCCCCGGTGAAATCAACCACCCTGCGTACCATTATCCATCCGGACTCGGAGAAGTTCCACAGCAATTCGGGGATCCATGTGTCCTTTGGAGCCGAGAACCAGCACCAGACTGGTCACATTCTGGAGGAGCACGATGCCGAGAGCATTCAGCGCCAGGTGGTGGCTCTTCCTCCCTCGGTGTCCTCCAAATCGGAGGGTGGATATATCAGCAACACACGAGCGGATTACGGCCGAGAGAATAACTTTGGATCTCGACCAGGACCCATTTCGAATCTACTCTTTGGTAGCAACTACCAACAGTCCAACATTAACTACCAGCAGCAGCAACAGCAATTGCCCACGCAGCACGGCAGCAACTACTTCAGGCCACCGGCTGCCTTGGTGGGTCCTCCTCCCAGCTACCCTAAGCCAGCGGCACAGGTGCAACAGGTGCAGCAGCAACATCGGCCAAGCATCACCCAGCAGCAGCTGCCCTCCACTTCCTCCCAGACAATTTTCAATAAGCTGGTGCAACAGTCGCAGTACTATATTAACCACAATCAGCAGTACCCACAGCAGCAACATCACCAGCAGCAGCAACAGCAGCATCAGCAGCAACATCAGCAGCAACATCAGCATCAACAGCAGCAGCAACATCAGCAGGCACCACAGCAACAGGCACCGCAGCAACAGCAATATCAGAAGCCTCCCCACAAGCAGGTCCAAGTGCCATTCTTTCCCACAATTCCCCCGAAAAGCGTCACTCCTGCGCCATATCAGCCCGTCAAGTTCCGTCCCACGCCAGCACCTGTGTCCCAGGTGAAACCAATTCCACTGCCCGTCCAGTTGGATAATGCCAACTATCAGCAGCAGCAGCAACACTATCAGCCGCAGCAGCAGCAGAAGTTGCCGCATCAGCAGCAATCTTATCAGTTTGTGCGTCAGCCGCAATTCGTGCAGCAGCCACAGTTTGTGGTGCGCTCGCCCACTCCACCACCAGAATACTACTCGCAACAGAAGCAGCAGGCACAGCAGCAACATTCCCAGCAGCAACATCACCAGAGCGGCCTCAACTATTTCGACATTAAGCCTTCCAAGGAGACGGAGCTGCTCAAGTCCATTCCCAAGTTCGAGCAGCACATCACGGAGACGGTGCAGAATCCCATTGCTCCCTCGCAGCAGCCACAGGTGCAATATCAGCAGCAGCAGCAACACCAGCAGGTGCATCAGCAACATCAGCAGTTTGCCTATAGCAGCACGCGGAATGAGGTGATCCACGATGTGCCCGCGCCCAATTTGGGACCCACTGCTGCCCAGCAGCCCATCTCTGGACACTATGTAACAGCCGGATCTTCGGGTGCCCACCATTCCCAGCAGCAATCTCACTTTGCCAGCTTCCCCAGTGAGGCTCCATCGCAGCCTCCCGTCTACGCGGAGTCCACCCATGGCCAGAAAGTGATGGTCGTGACCCCAGTGCCCCCTTCTTCCAACTACGTGACCTACAGCCAGTACTCCCAGTTGCATTCCAATGAGCCGGTGGTCCATGTCAATGCCCAGTCGGCGGCTCTGCAGGCTCAGGCCAGCACCAACTTTGCCCAACAGCCCAGGCAGCCAGCCTCCTCCACCGACAACTCACCCTTCAGTGTGTCCACCTTCCACTCGGATGTGTTCAAGGAGCTGGAGCAGCGCAACCAGAAGGATAAGCAGGTGGCGCCACAGCAGCAGGCTCTAAAGATTGCCGCCCCCGCTCCCACACCCGCTCCTTCCGCCTCTCCCAATGGCAAGGCCTCGCAGACGCTGCTCCAACTGCCCGACGAGGTGCCCGATGATCTCCGCCAGCAGCTCTTCTCCTCGGGCATCCTGAACAACGCGGACATCTCCATTCTGGACTACGACAAGCAGGGAGATATTGCCCTAGAGAACCTGCCCGCCGAGCATCTGCAGCACTTCTACGGAGCCGGCGGTGGCGCCCAGATTGCCGAGACCAAGAAAGTTTTGACCGTGGTTAAGCCCAATGGCGATAAGGTGGCCATTAGTGAGAAGCAGCTGGATCGCGTTAAGCAGACCAATTCGCTGCCCCAGAAACAGGATTTGGATGTCAAGGTGGTGCGGTATGATCAGAGCCAAGGTCAGAGTGTCAGCGACAAGTATGTGCGCACCGATGCCACAGTGGTGACTCCTGTGGATTTGGCCGAGCGGCAGCAGTACAACCGCTACTTGCCCCTGAAGATCAACGGAGCCCAGTTCCCGATTCCCGACAGCGAGGAGCTGCTGGGCAAGCGGATTGTCAGCGTGGTGGTTCTGGCTCCCGTGGAGGCCCAGAATCCCGGACAGGCGAGCGGTGAGGCGCGAAGTGCCGACGGCAAGGAGGTCAAGTTCCTGGGCGGTGAGCTCATCAAAACGCTGGTGAAGAAGCCCACCAAGGACAACTTTAAGCGCTGGCTGGAGAAGGAGGCGCGCACGGATCTGGAGCTGCAGTCCGTCGTCCTGCTGGTGGCCAAGTGAGTGAATTATAGCGATAGTTTCGGAATAGTTTATAACTATAAACACTTTCCATCGAAATTTTGGTTAAGAAAAAAATTGTTGCATACTTTTAGACACTTTCATAAATTATTTTAAATTTCTGGAGGTTCCACAAACGCTTAACCCTTACATTTCAACAAAAATAATATAGATTGATGTATAAAATGGTTTAGCGTTCTAGAACCTCCTTAAGTACCTTCTAAACTATTAATTTTTTCCTTTCCAGATCCACCGATGCCTCCGCGGAGCAGGAGATCTTCATGTACGACATTGGAACGGGCAGCATCAACCGGTTGAATGGAGAGCTCTCCAGCACATTCGTCAATGTGGCCGAGGAGAACGCCAGCAGCGAGGATCTAGAGCACGCCGCCACCTTGGACCCCAGTTCGCTGGAGTCCATGATGCATCTGCGCCGCAGATAGACATCGCGATCGAGTCGAGTCGCCGCAGTCCACAACAAAATGCCATTTAGCTACTCAACTAGAGACATGATCATCGTGCGCCCCTGAAAACCCCCCCTGAATTTTACTACTTCCTTAGTTTTTTGTTTTCTACACTTTCCTTACTCTTTCCTCAGGTTGCACATTTTTCACTCAAAAAAAAAAAGAGAAACTCGTTTCATTGATCACGGCATTGCATCCAATCCTCTCGTAGTATTTCCATTTTGTAAATATTCTATGCTGATGTTACAATTATCGTAATTTAAGTTAATTTACGTAAAAATATTAAAATAAACAAGAAAATTAAAAAAAAATGGTGTCATTTAATTATATTTGAAAAATTCTGTGGGACAGATACATATATTGAGATATATATATTTTGAGATGATCTAGTGTATTGCTGAAGTTTTAAATGTTTATTCATTTAAATAAAAATTGATTGAAATTGTAAAATAAATTACCTTTGGATAAAAATTTGTACATGAATTCTACATATACACATATACATCAGTCGTTATTTAACTTGTGAAATTTAGTTCCACTTATTCAGAAAGTGTTTTATTAGGCGTAACGCTAATTTCCATTTAAACGATTAACATCATTATTATCAAGTATAATGACCATTTCCGATGTCAAAAGTAAATAAATGTAACGTAGTATAGGTAGTAAATGTAAGTAACTCCCGTTAGTACCAAAAACAACCAACCTCACTGACAGCGCCACTGTGCATGTAATGGCCATGTAAAGCCAATGTAAAGTTGGGGTTACTTTTAGTGTTTTTCAAATAGAAGACCACTGTGTTACGATAATATCAAACAATATAGTCTTATGATTAAGAACAAACTTGTTAATGTTCAATTAAAATATTCTAGACTATAATTTCCATGTAAATCTAACCCAGTTTTCGTTGCTTACCATGTTGTTCAGATCAGGCAGCTATTCGAGATTCGAGGGCAATATCAGCTGTATTGGACCCCTTAATTTGGGCCAAGGTTAGCCGGTGGCCACTGCAGTCTCTGCGATGCTGGCTGGCAAGAAGTTAAACGTGTCTCGATAGCAGGACAAGATTTCGCAGCGCCCACAAATCACACGCATACGTGACCCAGCCATATATATTATACACATATATATATGCCCCGATATCGGATCTGGTCCACGGCGGTAGACGTGACTAGAAGCTGCCGAAGAGAGTTGGCCAAAAGCGGGGTTTCTCTTAGGCCGCTCTTTCTTTGTTTTTCCTACTTGACTGGTTGTTTTGACGTGCTTTTTTGGGCTCGGTAGGTGCAACAAGTCGCCGCGACTATAATTACATGCAGTTTATTTTTAGCCCCGCAACTACGCACGCCAGCAACAACAACTACAACATCTGCCCCGGCAGCAACTTGCAACTACCAACTAGCAACAAGCAACCAAAAGCAGCAACTCGCAAGTCGCGTAGACTGGCAAACGGCCAAATGCAGCGATAACAGCACAAAAACTGCAGTACATACTCGTAAAACGAAGCCTGGTTTTTCACGTTGGCCATATGTATGTAAGTATGTATGAGCATATAGTGCTGCATATACAGTACCGGCTGAATTGGCGCTGCTGTTGCCAAGAGTGAGTTGTTTCAGCTTCAGATATGGGGATATACGACGGGTCGGGCCATCCGTTTTGAATGTTTATTTGACTTATGCAATGTGCGAGAGTTTTTCAAAACATTTTCGTTGTTAGACAAACAAAGCTCAAGACTTTGCTAACTACGCGAAAATCGTTAAAAGTTCGAGAGATTGCTAGCTAGAAAATTGGGAGTTGTGAAATACATAAGTGTTGTGGGAAAAAGGCAAGCCTATTATCTCAAAACCTTTAAGAACTGTCGCTCTGCTTAAAAAATAACCGATTTATAGAAAATAATAATATAATGTTAATTATTAGTATAAATATCTATGGACATTTTATTAAAATCTAGAATGTATTATTTTAAAAAGAGAGGTTTGAAGTAAAAGTCGAGTAATATGATAGTTAAGACCCATTTCGAAATACAAGAATTATTATTATTATTTAATATAGTAAAGGAAGGAACAGGTATAAGGGTAATATTCGTTTACAATAAATTACAACTAGTGGTTAGTGAGGGTTCAGCTGATCAATTTATTTAAGTATTAAATAAAAACTGTCTGTTTGGACTGATTTTACAATTCGTATGTTTCCGAGATGAAACCAATAGCTAATGATAAAAATAAGTATTGATTTTGCATCCCAATACCAAGAGATCCATGCGTTGTTCCTGAAATCCCTTGACCCAAAACTCGTATCTTGTTGTGCTGATTTTGAAATTTACGGGGATCAACGGGGCTTTAACCTACTTTCCGAGTTGGCTGGCCTTGGGAGCGAGTCCTGTCATCTGGATGGGCTTAAGGTAAACTCCAATTTGGCCCAAACCCACACATGCACAGGGACACACGCCCATGGGGCATGGGGCATGCCATGTGGTATGCATTCATCTCGTTGGTTGAAGATGTATTTCGTGCTCATCCCTTTTGACACATGTTGTTTGAACTGCTTTCGATTTTTTGCCCCAGTCGAACGAATGAACGAGCGAATGGAACGTCTTTTGCTGTAATTTTCGCATTCTGTCTCCCACATCCAATGCGTCTTACTGATTTTTGCGATTGTTTTTCCTCTTTCTTTTTTTGCACACTCTGTTCTGCTCGCATATCGACTTGACTCGTTTCAAAATTGGGTTACAGACCCCTGTTCCCCCCAAAAAACAACTAAAAAAGAGAGTAAAACAACAAGAGGGCCCGCAAAAAATATAGCACACGGCCACAACAACAACAACAACAAAGACTAAGGCAAAAACATGCAAATGCAAAAATCCGTTTGACGCCATAAGCGCCATGAGTCAGAAGAGAGCGGCAGCAGAATTGTTGCACTGATTGCTCATGCCTTATGTTGTTGTTGTTGTTTCTGTTATTGTAGGTGGCAGATGAAGGAGAACCTCTTCCTCCCCCCTCCTCACCGGGCTCCTTCTTCTACTCCTCCTCCTCCTCCTCCTTCACGATTTCTCTTTTGCCTGCTTCCTTGGCTCGTGTCTCTCCGTCTTTAGCGTCTGCCCGCTTTGTTAGTTAAATTGCAGAGTTACAGTTGTTTACGAGCTTTGCACAGGAAGAAAAAAGAGTTGTGGGTCAACATAGCATTTCAATCTTGAGGATCTTTTTTACCAATGATCAAAACATAACCCTAAAAATTATATTAGTTAGTAATGTCTTCAAATTATTTAGAAACTAGAAATATATGCAACTAAATATTAACTTATGTTTCTACAGCTTTAAAATATATATTATTAGCAACAAGTACTTACATCGCATTATCAAATCCCAGTCCCAAATCAAGCACGTGGAATATTAAATCAATCAATTACGGGATTTTTAAATATAACAATAATTGAAAGATTTATACGCTTAAATTTGTCTCTCATGTTTAATTTAGTCAGATTTATATATTCTCTTTTGGAAGGCACATTACACTATATTCTTACTATAATGAAAAAACACTGTAAAATTGAGAGACCCTAAAAAGATTCCACTATTATAATGCTGTCCGAAATAGCAGATGTTTAATTTTCGTTCTGTTTTTTCTCAATAGTAATGGCTGCTTAATCAATAAAAATTTTATGCTTGTGCTTGGGTTTCCCCTGGGAGTATTTGCTTTTTAGAATCTGGGTGATGTTCTTTTAAATGAAAAATTACTCATTCGCCATGTTGATTAAATGCGCTCAAATGTCGAGGTCGTGAAATCATCAAGAAATATTGACTTTTTAATTGATAGTAGTTTGCTAGTACCAAAAAGAGATTGTTTTAAATATTAATTAATTTATAAATATAAATCGGAATCTCCATATACTAAATTCGTTTTAAGATTGTTTATTTTAGTGTAGCTGTTTTGGTTTTGTCACACAAAGAGCGCTTAAGCAAGAGAATGAACATGGCTTTCCGCTCCGGTTTTCTCTCTGCGCCTGGAAGAGATCGCCGGGCTGTGCGGCGGCAGAGGCGTCGACGTAGCCGCTGGCCGCCCCAAGCTGCGCTCAGTCCAATCAGATCGGCCGTCGCAGCAAGTTCGCGAGTTCGAGCAGCGGCGCACAGCGAGAAAAGAAGAGCAGCGTTCCAAGCGTTTTCGGCCCCCAGTCGCTGACGCCGAGGGCGGCGCAGAAAACTTGGCTCCTTTTCCGCAGAAAGGGCGCGCGAGTGGAGATCCGCGACTAACGGATCTCGATCCTAGACGAACTAGTTTTAGATTGCGCAATTCCGAAGCCACAATCGCGAAAAGCAACTGTTTTTAAGTGCGCGCGTCGACGAGTGAAATTCGATAGCAAACGGCAAAGGCAAAGCTCTAAAAAGCCGTTTTAAAACAAAACAAAAAAAAAACACTGACAAAACACAAAAACAACAGAGCAACATGGCGACCACCGCCTGCGTCCGCTGCGCCCAACAGCAACAACAAAACAAACAGCATGAGGCGCATGCGCAGCAGCAGTTGCAGCAGCAGCGACGCAACAGCAACAACAACAGCCCGCGGATTCTGCACATTTATTGCGCGTGGGCGTTGATCACTCTCTTGGCCGCCAGCGCCGCGATGGTCCAAAGTGCAGCAGTCTTTGGTTAGTTGCGAAAATTAAAAAAAATGTATAAATATGTGCCTGGGAAATTTACGATGGGGGAGGTGGAGGATTTTTATCACTGCATTGTGTGCAAACTGTGTGAAGAAAAGAAGAAATGGTGAAAGGGTGGGAGTGAGAGGATTGAAGGATGGGGAGAAACCCGGTAATTGAGTCGGCCCAAGTGCTCGTCGCTCTTATAATTACCGGATTCGAGGAATCGGTGCAAAGTATCGGTGGGTCACAAGATCTGGTCAAAAGAGGTACTTCCCCCACACACAAGTTCAAGACTTGGATTTCACTTCTCGCCGCACAGTCGAACTTCTATAGCTGGGACTTTCCCAAGATGAATTAACGGTAATTTCGAGAAAGTTAATAGGTATATTTGGTAACCCATTGAAGCTGAAATACATTGAAAACGAATTAAACAATTGTCTGCTATTTTTCTACTCTTTATAAGTTAGTTTAGTCCGTAAATGTCTAATATAAAAGTTCTTATTAACTCAATTCAACAGTATTTACATGATCCAACTTAAAAGTTAGAAACTTTTGAAGCTCTTTAAAACCAGAATTTTGGTTACATGAGTATTACAAACTAGTTAGGACCACATAAACAACTAAACCAAGTAAACTTTGTTTATGTGGTTCGAAAGCCTCCCAAACAAGAAGTTAAGCTCAAAGTAGTTTGAGTTCTCGAGTATTGACTGTAGTTAACCACTGCCTTTCTAATCGCTGGCCATTATAGCCTCTTTTTTTAGTCACCCATCCCATATCCGTGGCCATAGAATATACGCATTGTGAACCACTGTCATTTGTTGTGTGTGCTTTTAATTTTATCACCGATTATTTGTGCTGTTTCTGTTTGGAAAACCGGTTGTCGGTTCCCCCACTCACTCGATCTTAACCGCATTTGACCGATCCCGCCGTGCACATGGTTTCGTAAATGATTTGGCTTTAATTTCAGCCGAAAGGCCAATCTCGATTGCTAGTCACCAAAGCCAAAATCCCACTGATAAGCGCGAAGTTTCGTGAATCATTTTCGAAACGGGTGGCTATAAAAAGCGGCTAGAAGCCGTAAATATATCACGCGGAAGTTTAGCGGCATGAAATTGAAAACAAAAAAACAATGTAATGCAAATAAAAGAAAATGCTTTTTTTAGTGAAACTTGAAACAGAAACAGAAAACTGAAAAAACACAAAGCGGAGAACAGAAAATAAGAAAACGCAACCCAACCGCCAGACGACCTCATTGTCATTGAAATACAGTTATGGCCCGAACAAAGAGTCAGATTGGCAAACTTCGCGTCTGGATAGCCTGCGTTGCAACAAGGGGTTAACGTTAATGGTACATAGCATTATCATCAAAGAAAATCCAACGAGGGCCAGCGTTCCAATGACCTCTTAATAAGGAAAGTTTTTGAATCGATACAAAACTAGAATAGATGTTAGCTGTTATTATATGATTTAATGGATCCTTTTTTAATATTTGATGCAATAAAATCAGATATCATATTACATATGATGTATTATTATGATTTCCGATCCTATAATATCAGTTTTCATTACAATCTTGGACAAAGTTAAAAAAAGAAATACAATTTTGTACCTATTGTTGATAGTGCTCAAAAACACGTTCCTTATGCGGTTATTCCACTACATCGTTCGGATCATTCATTAGTACAATTTTTTCTCAGCCCATACGATTTTACGTAGGTGCGAGCAAGATCCGATTTACAGTAGCTCTAATAAATGAGCAAAATTGTACTTTTTAGATTCAATTTTGCTCATACAAAAAAAAATAAAATGGTGGCCTTCGGTTTTTAAAATTTTGCTCATTAATTGCTCATTGCAGCTGACATATATCTGTCTTGCTCGCACCTACGTAAAATCGTATAGGCTGAGAAAAAATTGTTCTAATGAATGAGCCGACCAATGTAGTGGAATAACCGCATTATCAAATATTCCACATAGGTCCCATAAAGTATCAATATTTTTGGCATGTGCTTAGTCGACACGAGTTTCTCCCCTCATCTAAATCGAAATCTAACACCGAATCTTGATCTGGGATAGTGTTTACTCTATCCGAACTTTTTGGCTAGCACAACAAACAGTCGAGTCGAAGAGCGTTATTTATCCAGCCATAAACATTCATATGTATATTTAGCCATAGCCGTGTACATGTTTGCAAACTGGTTTCCAGCTCTGTTTTGCCGTGGCTGTTGCTGAATATCAAGTAGAATTAACATATGTTGCCAGCAGCCATCTGTGGATTGTATGGGACTTGAGACTGGAGATTTGAGATTGGAGAAGTTCACCCCAAGTCTGGTTTTATATGGCTGCTGTGGCCAGAAGCTGCTGGCTATGCGACTCGAAAAGTCATCTGGGTTCAATTAGGTGGCACTGGCACAAACACACCCCTTACAACCCCGCCCACCCGTTTTTCAATTCCAATTCAAACTTTTTTTTTGCGAGCGAGACAGCGATAAAGCATCCAGCAATCGCTTAATTAAAATGCAAATTGTTCATAAAAAAAAATAGCAATAGAAAATAACTGGCATTCTGCTCGAGTAGCAGAGGCAATTTTGGGCGTTTGTGAATTTGTGAGTTTTTTCTCTTCACGTTTTCAATACTGTTTTTCGCTTTTTTCTGCCAAGTACTGAAAATGGGTCTTTGATTTATGTATGCGGCCATTAGAAGCCATGTTCAACTGGCTTCCGCCTCGACTCGCCGCCATTCCGCTGACTGCTTGGCCAGTTAAGCAGCAACAGTTGCCGTTAGGTCTGCTGCCAATGTGTTGCACGCAACAGCAGCAGCAACATCTACAACAGCAACATCTACAGCAGCTGCAGCAACAAATGACCAGTTCCTTGCCTTTCGGGTTGCCTGAATTCTTGTTTATTGTACAATTTATTTATTTTGTCGTTCTTTAGCTGGGCAAACAGACAAATTACAACGACAACAACGATAGTAGCCAAGAGCAGCAGCAGCAACATGATGACACATTCGCTTGACCTATTAGGAAAATTGGCCAACGGGAAATGTAGCGCGCTGTCCAAAGCCATGAAGATGGGATGTGAAAGCGGATGAGGGGCGGTGGAGGGTATGGGGCGGGAAAAGCGGGAGAAGAAAGCTGGAGTGCGGGAAAGCGGGAAAGGTGCAAGGCCAGATAGAGAGGCACAGACAGAGAAAGAGAAAGAGACAGATAAAGAGACAGAGACAGCGACAACGACAGAGAAAGAGAAGAGGGACAAGCACTTAACCCTTGCCATTCTGACTTTGATAGTTGACCCAATTTCAGCAGTTTCACAAATAAAACTAAAGCAAATGGAATGATGAGCGACGATAGCAGAACATCTAATGCTCTATTTAATGGGAAAAGCTCCATTACCTAATTTTTTAAATGGTTTATTTAGCGAATTAGCAGTGTCAAAAGAAAACAGTGATTCTAAATAGCAATGGATGTTATAAAAATATTATAAAAGCTTTAAAACGCAATCACGAGCTATACATTTTCTTTAAAATGTATTAATAGTTAATTTTCAATACTTTTTAATAATACAATTAACTGAGAAAAAAGATAAAATAATATGTGATCTGTTCTAATATTTTAATTATCGATATTCGAACTAACTTAAATTTAATCCTATTGATTCTTATCATATAAAAGCGTTTTTTTCATAAATCTTTCATAGGGAGCATAGGAAAAATGCAATCCTTTCACTTGACTTACAGATAACTTATCGATTCCGTAATTCGATTGTGAGACTTAACAAGTTCGACGAGGGGTTTATGGGTTTGTGGATTCCCCCCTGCTGAGAAGAGTATAACAAACTGCACTTGCAGACTGTTTTTGTTTGTTTCTGTTTGTGCGTCGAGTGGCGCTTACTCCACGTATATGTGTGTGTACTTGCCGTTTGTGTGCGCGAGTGTTGTGTAATTTTTAACAACAACTTTTTTTTCGAGTGTCTCTCCATCGTGCGCTTTTACTGTTTTCCACACCGCCCCGCCCTTTTTCCACCCCTCTTTCCGCAGGCAGCCGGGCGTAATTATGACGAGTGAGCGGAGCAGAGCAGCATCCAGCATCCCAACATCCCAGCATCCACATCCACAGCCAGCTTCCATCCATCCAGCATGCAACACGCGTCCGCATCGCGTGGCAGCCACAGAATTTATTATGCCCAGTCGCCACTCGAGAAGCAGAACTCAAAAACTCAACACAAAAAATGAAAACCCTCTAACCGCTTGACAATCTCTGCACGAGCAGTTGCAGTTTGCTCTTGGCCAAGTTCCGTTTTTGTCTAAATCTGAATCTGAACCTGAATCTAAAGCCGAATCCCCGAGTCCAAACAACAACTCAAAACTGGCCCACTCGACATAGGGGGACTGTATATAGGCACTATAACTTGTGGATCGGCATTGACTACGCATTTTAATGTGCCCTTTTCAAATTCAAGTGGCTGCTGCTGCTTGACCTACACACAGATACGCACGCACACCAAAAGCCAGAGATACGCATCGCGAGATATTGGCAGATAAGTAGGAGAGCACTGAGAGAATTCAAGGTACTTCTTAAGGAGATAACTTGTTCTACTTTACTAAAAATTAACATTCAAAATCTTAAAAGATTAAATTGATTTCTCAAGATATATTCAAGCAAAAATCTTGAAAAATATACAAAAAAACATTCTAGAAGTTTATCTGATCCCATTTTTCTCAGTGCTCAACAGTTGACTGTAAATTGTTTTCCATGTTTGTCTGTGAGTTTGCTGGCTGGTTGGTTTGTTTGTTAGCTGTTTGTCTTGCTATTTATCTGTGTAATCGTGTCTCTTAACCTGACCTTGCCCAAAACGAAAATGCTGTGCTGGAGCCATTGGGCTGTGGCTGTGTACAAGTTCAAAGCTGCTTTTGGCTAGCACCTTAGCTTATCTGGGATTGGACTTTCCCCGGGAAAGCGTACAGCTTTCCCCCCCAAAAAAAACAGCAATATCACTCTGTTCTGCTCTGAAAACGAAGACAAATTATTAACGGCATATTTAGAAAAAAAATTGGGTGGAACTGCTGCTAGCTGGCCCTTTCTTTCTTGCCCGCTTGGCTGGCTGCCCGAATTGTAAATCGTAAACCCATTTCCCGATGAACTCCCCGCATAAACATTAACCCGAAACAGAAGCAAGTTAACTTGTGGATTCATGTGTTTATTTGGCTGCCAGTGCTTGTGCGCTTTTAACCCAATTAGCAATGACGCCGGGACTTTAGAGCCCCCTCTCAGTTGGCCCTCAAATGGGCCTTAATCATTACTTAACTGTATGGAATTCATTGTATTACAGTGCTAATGGCTTTTCATTCTGTAACAATTGCGACTAATTGAAGATATTGTATGCCAAACTGAATGAGTGTCATTTGCTCGCTCGGCTTTCCCTAGATTCAGAACAACATGTGAATCGATTACTCAAATCTACCCATAATTGGCGTATAAAACTGATGAAAGCCTGTCATTAAAGCGGCTGTAATGGGTGCATTTGCCGAAATGATGATTGAAACTCCAGCACGTGTGGCTGGCTCGAACCCCCAGGCTATTAATGTCAAGTTCGAAATGGGAATTAGCTGCTGAATTGCACTGCTACTCGTACTCATACTCGTACTCACACTCATAGTACTCACTTGGGCGCACGGAGCAAATGCAAATTGTTTAATAAAATGTTTAATAGTTCGCCAAAGCTGTGTGGCAATTGCACAGCGGAAAAAAGAGCGAGGGCGGCTGCAAAAACACAAACAATGAGTCGGTTGCAACACAGAAACAGCTCGGGTAATAATATAATAATGGTATAAGTATACCCGTACTATGTGGTGCAGTCAGTGACCCAGAAGTATACGAGCACAATGCAAAAGTAGTTTTCCTACACAGCCGCAATGCCATAAGATGTTTGCCCGTGTATTTGTATTTTATTAATTGAAGTACTTAATAGTGCTTGTGCGAATCTTTAACCTTTGGCGGCGCAAAGTTCGGGATCGAGTGCAAAATAATTGAACGGAGGAGCTCCCTCGCCTACTCTCGTGTTTAGGTAAACGTAGTCATTCAATTATCGCCGCATCCATTAATTGAATTTTCGAACTGTGTTTGGTTTGGTTTCATCACCGAAACTGGAGTCCCATCCATTTCCATTTCCCTCTGCCAATTCACACAAAATTCGTATTCCTATTTTTAGCGTTGTCACACCGCAGCTTTTTTATTTATATGTTTATTTGTCTTTATTTTCGTCAAGCTGTGAGTTATTTATTGATTGACAACTCGCGGATTTCGTCTGCATGCGATGCGTTTAGTTGGTATGATGGATTCCGCATACAAATGGCCACAAATCGGCGACCATCCATCGGTTTGATGTAGAAATTAACAGACCAATGTAAATTTGGACTCAAGGCATCTGTGCTCCACTAATAATATTCGATATCAAACTCTCCATTTCAGGTGATCTGCTGTCCCATCCAACTTTCAAGCCGCTCTGCAGTGCCCAGCACGAGCACTTCATCGAGAGCGATGGCAAAGAATCTAGTCTCATCATCGAACTGAAGCCGGGTTCCTATGGGGCGGAGCACGCCTCCTGCGCCCGCATCCTGAGTGCCCCGCCCAACTATGGCTTCATAGTGCGCCTCATCCTGCCAAAGCTGCCGCACGGCCAGCCCCTGGATGTGGCCACCACCAGGAGTCCCTCGGCCACGAACATCATGGCCGCATCAGCCGGTGCTAACAACACCTCCAAGCTCCGACGAACGGCCAAGTCCGGCGGAATCATGGAATCCCCGGCACTCCTCAACTCCACGAAGGCTTCCCGGGTGATGGGACGCACCTGCCCTCTGAACATTGTAAGTGAACTCACCTTAACCCCCATTTCAGGCGACAAGGTTGCCTCTGATTGATCACACTTGGGAAAACTAGGAGAAGGTCTAGAATACGGGGGTAGTAAAAATATATCAGTAGTTTCAAGTTTTATAGGTAGATTTTTGTTAGATCGCGTTGGAAATATATCTACTAAGAACATATATAAACCAAGTTCCTCCTCGAACTACAAAGACTTAATATATTTTGGAGGTAAATTAAATTAATTGCTCTGATTTCAATTCCATGATTCGTTTTAGTTTTATTTTTTTTCAATCAATCCCTTAATTCTTTTGGGTACTTTAAAGCCTAGTTGCGTCAAAAAGCCTTTTCTGTTTGCATTGCCACTAAGTCACATCTTAAATCTAGCAATTGATTCTCTTTACATTATAAAGTGTCTTTCCAAGTGTACTTGTTTTTCGCTGATTAGTGCGAGGTTGCCATTTTCTGCACCTTCCGCTCGAATTATTTGCCAGTTTCTTTGATCCCATTCATCTTTACGTTAAAATATACCACTTGACTGCGCATGCGCAGCGTTCGAGTGTGAGAATCGGATCGAAAAGTTCAAACAGCTGAGTTCAAGAACACACTGCCAGTAGTTTTCCACATCTCAGGATTCTCCTAAACCCAAAAAAAAACAGACAAATGAAATCAGAATTTTGTTATGACTTCATCTGATACCTGTCTGTTTATAATTTATACCGCGAGAAATATTAAATAACACATAAGTGTTTTCCGAAATTGCTGCCAAGTCCCATTGTCAAATAGATTAAATTTGCAGGCTGCACTGCAAATGTTCTCATAAGCGAACTTATCGTTCTCGATTGACATTGTTACTTTTTTGTGGCTTTCCGATGCGACAGTTTGACATCTGAAATTGTCTCCAATTACCGGCAGGTCTCATGCGAGGCGAAACGTAATTCGTCAGCTGATCGTTGACATTGGCAAAGGTGTTCTCGATTAAATAAGAAACTTTCCATTTGGCCTTTGACATTGAACTCCAGCTGGGCGTGTTTCACTTTCTGCGGGCCCAAAAACTGAAACTCCGCGTCAAAGCCAGAAAAGCGTTGGTATTTGCATAAGCGCGCGAATTTCGACCATTTTGCTGGGCCTTTTTTTTTATTTTTCTTTTTGGTATTTGAAACACGTTTGTAGCATTTGGCCAGGGAAGCAACAGAAACAGCAACCGCAGTCCCACAGCAACACTTTCGGTTAGTGAGGCGACGCGTCGCCATAAATCCGTCGACTTGAACCGACTGACTGACAGTTGGCGTCGCCATAAAAGCGAACTATGCTACTGAAAACTGAAAACCAATGGGTTGGGGACGCTATCTCGAGGGAGTGTATCCACATATCCACATTTGCATGCCCACCAGAATAGAGGAGGTTCTTTGTTCCGTCACCGTTTCGGTGAGAAGTGCAAATTGATGCGTCGCATAATTATAGACCAGAATCGTAATCGTCTTCCTAATGAGTTGACTAGAAAAATGTTGTAAGTATCACGATGCAGGCAGTGTGTTTATTTTTTTTATCACTTGAGAACTGGTTTAACCGTTGTCGATGGGGACACTCCCTGGCTAATTGTTGTTTACTACGAGTGTGCACTTACAATGGGGACTACCAGTTATTGAACCTGAGCGGACAAAGCTGGCTGAACCCGTATCCATTGCTTTTTTTCTTCTATATATCATCTGCACGTGAAACAGCTCCGAATTAATGGATTTATTTTTATAAAACCAACGATTCTCAGGCAACGCGTAGTTCTCGTTTCTGGCGTGGCTTTCGCAGCTTTTTGTTTCGTATTTTTTCAGCGTAAATATTTAATTTTGCATTATGTGTGTTTGCATTCGCAGTTTTGATCGTTGATTTTTGATCGTTTTGTTGAACTTGGCCATTCGCGTCACGTAAACGAGGAGTGGGCGTGGTCGAGGGGGAGGGTGATGGTGTTGTGGAGGTGGAGAATTCAAACGATTAGCATTTCGATCGTGTAAACTGTTTGCTCGCACGTTTCCCTGGCAAATATTCAGTACGCACTTAGGCCACGCTTTTAGCCAGCCCCCCATAATTAAAAGGTTCTATTTGCCTTCACCCCCAAACAGTTTAGCTCTTTGGACCCGCACACGGCCCAGTGGCGAGTGGATCCCTGCCAGTTGGAGGACACCGCCTCGGAGATGGAGGATCCGGTGAGGCTCTTCCACGGTCGCGTCAAGATCGTCTGGGAGCACGGTCAGCACACGCTGCGCTCCAAGCTGATGGTCACGGTCCTCGGGAAGGGCGAGCAGTGCAAGGATGGCAGCAAGCACCAGTGCCTGAAGATTGGGTAAGTTTGATAAATCCTGAAATCTTAGAAAATTTTATTTTTGTGATACACAAAATATTTACTTAATTTCCACGGCTTAAACTGGTGTTACTTAAACTACAATACCGTTTTCAAGCAGCCTTTAAGATAAGAATTTTCAAAAACGAATTAAATTAATGTTACTAATTTTTCAAATCTATATTTTATTTTTATGTACTTTGTACCTATGTTCTACATAAGTCAAACATTTTAAATATTAAACTTTTTAAAATGTTATATTTTTTACAGCCTGAAAGTAGGCAATAAGTAAAGTGAAAAGAGTTTCCGAAAAATCTTTTGAATTGTGAACCACAAAATCACATTATCAATTAAGCAAAATCTTTACTATCATTCAGATTATAATTGCTTTATTATTTATTATTTATTTGTATTATTTATTAGCTACCTTGACCAGATCGTCTTATATTAATGGTCTAATTTCCTTCTAGCGATGAGCCCATTCTGTGCATCTCCAAGGAGCTGACCTGCGACGGGATCCGCCACTGTCCGTACAGCAACGAGTACGACAGCGATGAGGACTACGAGCTGTGCTCGAAGCAGCATCGCCCGGGATTCGGACACCTGTCCACCGGCCTGGAGTCGGATCTCTTCGAGCAGTTCGCCCTGGAAGTGTTCCGCAACCTGTTTGCCCACGACGCCCCGACGGCACCCGAGGATTTGCCGCGGAACAGTAGTGATGGCGCCGAAGGTTTGGGCTTGGATAACTCGACGGCCACCTCGACGACCACGCTGCGAAAAGTGCACACCAAAGACATGAAGAAGCCGGGCGATGGGTCACCCAATTCCATTGGGCCGAGCCTGGCCACCGAGGGGGAGGAGCAGCAGCAGCAGAAGCCGGAAAACGATACGGCTGAAATGGGAGCGGGAACTGGAGGCGGTGGCAGCGGATTCACGCGACGGAACTCGACGCGCTCTGGCCTCCACTCGGACCTATCGAAGTACGGGCCGTGGGGCTACCTGATGCTCGGCATGCTCCTGTGCGGCGGAGCCCTGCTCATCTGCGGCCTCTGGGGTACGTTAAATTGCACCATAGTCTAGTCCCAAGTAAGGCACTGTCATTTATCCGAGTTTCCCCGTTATTGTTGTTTGTTCTTCTCTCACCGCACATCGTGATACAAACCGATTCGCGACTCACCATGCTGTGCTATGACCGTGTCTAACTTTTCTGCAACTTTCTTGTACTAAATCCCACTAAAACCTATTCCCCCTCCCCTTCCACAGTTCTGTGTTGTCGCTTGAGCTCTCACATTGAATCCATACGTTCCCTTGCAGCCTCCGCCTCGCAGCATGCGGTCAACAACGAGCGAGAGGCGGCGCTGGCCGCCGCCAATGGAGGAGGAGGAGGTGGTGGCCCGGACCACCTGGGCGCCAGTTCGCCGCCGAACTACGAGGAGCTGGATCCCCCGCCGGCCTACTCGGTGCTCTTTCCCAACCAAAAGGCCGCCAGCAGCACCACACTGAACCTAGATGCTGCGGCAGCCAGTACAAGTACGGCGGCAACACCCAGCAGCGATGCCCAGCAGCAACATCCCGCCCAGCAGCAGCAGCAACAGCAACAGCAGCAGCAGCAACATCAACCAGAACAGCCAACGAACTAGCTCGTAAGCCTGACAAGAAGGTGTCGCACCTGGAAAACACATAGATCTTAAGGTCCCAACATCTCTCCGACTGACTCTGATGCAATTAGCTTAAAACCAATTTAGTGATAGCTTTAAGTGTGACTCTATGTTAAATGTTTGACTATATACGCTAACGATTAATGAACTAATGAATAACCAGACCCCAGCCGTCCTGTCAACGCCGCTGTCGCCTTTGGCAGACAGCCAGGCGGACCCAATTAGCTTCCGATAATTGAAAATGTAATAATAATGATGATTGTAAAAAAATGGAAATGAAACTGCAGCTGCAGCTGAATTAACTGACGAATCGACTAACTTTTGTAATTCTGTTAATTTAAACTTTAATGTGATATAAATTTAAAAATGAAAAATGAATAAAAAGCAAAGTGTTTAAGTAGTTTCTGTGAAGGGTGTACTTGGGAAATACTTAATTTACCGACCGAGACCAAAAAAAATAATAGTTGAGGAAAATAAAAATAGGTAAAATATTGCATCTAAAATCCATAATAAATATATTTCAAAGGTATATATTTTTTCTCAGTGTTTTTCCGGGACAGCAGTCTGATTGCTGCCTACTTTCGGGGCGACAGTGAATAAATAAACTAACCCACACAGTAATGCAAACACAGTCTGTTGTTTTTTTCACATCGAATTGAACATCTTTTTTATTTGCAATTCAGGTAAATTAATGGGGTCGCGTCGGAGAAGCGGTTTTCGGGATGAGAGGGGAGAGAGTGTTGTTTTTCACATTCAAATTGCGGGTTGGTAGTGCTAAATGAGTTGAGTTCGAGTTCTGGTTGCCTCTGTTATTTTAACTGATATATTACGTTGCACTGATATTATATTGTTCCATTTTCTAGTTACTGCTTACATGTATTTTCTGGTGCGCCAGGTGCATCCGAACGCTGGTCGCCTAATCGTAATCGTACATATGTGAAACAAAATTTACGCTAAAAACAAGAAGCCGTTCTTCTGTGTGAAGTTGGCCCCGCCCATCGATATCCTTGGGTTGACGGGCTCTCGGGGACCTTGGACTTACACAAATGTCGCGCTACGTTTGCAAGTTCGGTTTAGTTTAGTCGAAAATTCTACTACGTTGTACATACATACATTCATATGCGGTGTGTGTGTATACCTATATACTTAAGTGCCAATTTCAGCAGTTTAGATTACCGCGGGGAGCGGTTATCCTGTTTGAATTCAAGTTTTCGGCTTTGCTTACATACTCATAAGATTTGGGCGTTTTCGTGTTCGTCGATTCCATTCATTTTACAATACAATCCTCCCTTATTTTCTAGACGTGTGATCGTAAATACTCGATACTCGATACATATATATCGTAAAATTAATTGGGTGCAATTTTTGGATATTTCTTAGATTGGGTTTTGTGCAGAATTCCCCCCGTTCTCCAATTCTCCTGGTCTCCTGTCTTCTGTACTTGATTTTGTGTGGTCTAAGCGGGGGGCTTGGAAAAAACACACCTACTTACGACTAACTCATAGGCCATAGGGTACACTTAGCAAATACTTGTTGTATGTGGTTCAAGAAAATGTTAAATAGATAAAAAACGATCTCCGATAAAATGTCTCCTTCATTGCTCATCGTATTGGTATTCAAAAGTCATTAAAAATAAATTCAAATTCAAAATCGCACAAGGAGTCTCGCGCTAAAAAGTTATCTTCGTTTCATTCGGTTTGGTTTAGGTTCTTTAGTTAGCTTACGCACTACAAAATACTCGATAGTTAATCTATTCTCGATAGTTTCGATTTGTTTCGTCTAGAGTCCTACATTAGTTATCATGTAAAATTGGACGCCAAAAAACAATTAACAAAAGTGACGCAAAGCCCTAAGCTTGAAGCTTTGTGAAAATTCAATTGTAATTCTCAAGTTGTTTTTCTGGAAGGTGTCTGTGTGTGTGTCTCTGTGTTTGTCTGTGTGTGTGTGAGGGTTCAGCTCATTGTTTGGTTACTTCTCAATAAATAAGGCCAGTGGATACGCATACATCATAAAAGTACAATTCATGTTTATCATATTCAATGTTTCACATTTCGATACAAATCTAGTTAGTTTATAAAAAAGCGCTTCTCTCAAGTGCTCACCGCCTCGCACACTGATCCTATCCGTACCGCACCTAATCATATTTATAAATAGCATGGCATTAGCATGCCTTCGTATAATCGCTCCTAGTAGCCGCAACTCATGGGGAAAGCGTCTAGCCCTATCGATCCTAGCAATTTCAATAACCCCGCCCGTTTAGTTGATTCAAAGTTATTTGGTATAAAAAATAGAAAAAATTTGGTGACAATAAAAACGGTTCGCCTTAGTTTTCTCAAAATTATCGCGATCTACAAATATTGAGGCCAAAGTAAGTCCCGTAGATATTCTCCCGAATCTTCTTCAGTGCTAATAAAATCCGTTTCAGCTTTCTACAGAGTTTAGGGTATACAATATATGGTTCATACTGAAATATGAAACGCGATATGAACGGCTTAATACTTAGTTCCTTCGATTCTTAGATCTACTCTTTGTTCTATTGAATACGCTCTTGATTGCTTAAAAGTTGCTCGAAAATTAGTGAATCTGTTGTTTTTAGTGGTTAATCTGCGAACTGCAATGCGATTTCTCTAGCGATTTTAAGCGAATTAAAAGCACATTGATTGTATACATATGTCTGTGTGAGCTAGTGTGTATGGGGAGATCCTAGTCGACCCGCTGATCAAATCGTTACATTACTAATCCTACTTGCACTCAAACTTCCGATAGATGGTAGCTCTGATAGTTGGATGTTGTCTTCTGTTTTCCAATGGTATGGCTGTAGTTGCTATAGTTGTTCAAGTGGTTTCCTGCTGGTCTGCTGGAGTGTCGTTGGATGCTTCGATGGAACTGGAACACGGAACACCTGCCCGGCTAAAACCAAAAGCAAATTGTGCAGATGGACGACGACGACGAAGACGGCGAGTTGAAAGTGGCGGAGTGGAGGGTTATCCAGTTATCCTCCGATGGTTTCCTGTTTTCTTATCTTCTTCCTTGGATGGACCCAGATTTTGTGCGTTTGGGTTTCTGTTCGCTGCTCGCGAGTCTTTTGGGGATAGTTGGATTGGGTTGGGGGGCCCAACTAACAGTAGTTGCCATTGCCATTGCCATTGCCATACCACGGAAAGGTCCAGCACCATCAGTGCGGGAGCATCAGAGGCCTGGCCGTGCTACTCAGCCGGTGGTGGAGGGTCTTGTCCCCGCCATTACAGCCACCGCCGCCTCCTCCGCCGTAGTCCTCGTAGCTCATCAGGGGCGAAATCTTCAGGCCCGTCTTCTCGGGAATGATCTTGAAGTGCGGCTGATCGGCACTCACCAGCAGGGGCCGCTTCATCGAGGAGTGCATGTAGTCGTGCGGCGGATACGGATGCACAGTGGCCGCTCCCAGGGGCCTGTGGGTGCTGGGCACATTCATCTTCTTGCACGGCTCCGGCTTGCTCTCGTAGTTCATCTGGCAGTTCTCCGGCGAGTACTTGTTCGGCTTGTAGATCGAGAAGATGTTGTTGATCAGACTCAGCGCGGAGTGACCCCCGGCGGATGGGTGATGGATGCCGGCCGGCGGCTGCTGGGTGAGCACACTGCCCACCATCGGATGGCTGTGCTCCGGATAGAAGTTGTTGTACTGGTACGAGGGCAGGGTGTCCACGGTGGGGTAGACCTTGTGGCCATAGCCCTGGGCTGTGGGCTGTCCGTAGGCCGTCGAGCGATGATGATGGAAGGCGGGATGAAGGGGCACGGATGCGGGAGCCACTGGGGCAACGGGGGCAGGATCAAAAAAAGGATAGCCCCCGGCATTGGTCGAGGACTCGCTGGAGTCCAGTTGCGGCGGCGAGGGCATCCCCTCGAGCAGCGACTTCTTGATCATCAGCCGCTCGTGCTCCCTGTCATGCAGATCGATGGGCTGCCCGTTGTTGTAGCACCTCACATTCACGTTCTTCACCTTCAGACTGCTGTGCATGTTGCGCCGCATGTCCATGTTGATCGGACTGGGCGGCTTGTCCAGCTGCTCCCAGTACTTCTCCAGGTCGATGTTAAAGTCCTCCAGATCGATCTCGGTGGTGTCCGAGCAGGTGTCCTCGTCGAACAGGCTAGTGGGTGGCTGCATCTCCAGCAGGGATTTGCTGCGAGGAGGTCTGTGATAACTGGAGTTCCCCGAAGGATACCGCCTGCCAGGACTTCGGGGGGCAGGAGCAGCAGCGGCCAAATACCGCTCGTCCTCGTCCAGGAACTTGTCCTGCAGCATCAGGCGCTCCCGCTCGGCGCGGATAAAGTGCTCCAAGTCGGTGTCGTAGCGGCAGTGCATGTGCTCCTCCTCCTCGGCGGCGGGATGGTGGCCGGGACAGAGGGGTCGTGACCTTGGGCGGGCGGGAAGCGGCGGCTGTTGCTGCTGCCGCTGGCGTTGGCAGCAGCAGTCCTCTGCCGCCGAGCAGCAGCATATGACTGTCGGCGGAGCAGCTGGCGTCCTGCGGCGCTCCTCGAATAGCCAGTCGGCGGCACTTAGATTCCGATTGCTGCCCGACCTGGCTGGCCGCACCCTTCCCGATCCCGGATAGATGTCCTCCAGCAGGCAGCGGGCACTGGTGCACTGATCCCTGGCGCAGCAGCGATCCAGGCTGGAGCTGCACAGGGCATTCATATTCCGCCGCAGAGCCTCCCTCTTCTCCCTGCGCGAATTCGAGGCGGGGGGCAGCTCATAGTCGATGATGTCAAAGGGCATGGTCTTGGTGGTGGCACTGAAGGAGTAGGATTTGGGCACACCCGCCCGATTCTTCAGGATGGAGGTGGTCGCAGCTGGAGCCGCTCCACCGGCACTGCCACTCCCACTGGCCACACCGCCACCCGCTTCGAAAACGTTGCCCTCGAAGCACCAACTCTGGGATTTCGGGTACTGAAACTCCTTGCAGCTCTTGGAGCGATGCAGGCCATAGCCGGGCGATCCCTCGCCA